GTACAAGATAAGAAATAGTAGGTGGTTAAAAGGCCCTTACTCATAATTATGCCCACATTAATGTATGATCACCCAAAATAACAGGTGTTTTGCAGTCTCAGAGTAAGTCCTTTATCTTCAGAGGGAACAGGTTCTACACAACAGCTCTGTATGGCACAAGCATCCCACAGATTCACAGTGTCTTTTTCAAAGCACAAACACTTTTAAAAACACATGTTTGGAGTGACTGAAGTTAGCAGTAATTTTTTGTGTGTCTTTTTAAGTAGGGGTAGCATTTAAAGTTTTAGTAGGAGTATGAGGAGTATAATATCAACTTCTGCTCCTATTCTTTCCTTTTTTTATAAATTTTTTAATCTATTTTTACCTACCAATTAATATATATATTCCATGGTATTATATATATATATATATATATATATATATATATATATATATATATATATATATATATATATACTAAACCTATCTATCACAATGGAGAGAAGCAGGTATATATATATATATATATATATATATATATATATATATATATATATATATATATATATATATATATATATATATACTAATTGAGCCATTTCTTAGACAAATTATTTTTCAGTCAGTCTCTTTCTGTTCTTCAAACCTAGTCTTGCACTCTTGAAACATGTCCAGTGCTGTGTTCTGTGCTGAGTTTTGTTGGGGCAGCCTCCTCCGCCTGCTCTATTGATCTACACACGAGCCTCAACATGCTGGAGTGTCAATTAGGCAGCCCCTCCTGTCCATCTGTGAGAGCCACTGCGCTCTCCAAAAGCCTCCCTCATGACTGAGGCAGTTAGCAGCTGCTCACGTCCAACCACACACAAAAGGTCATAGGAAAACGCTCTTTCAGATCAGTCAATGAAGAGGGGGTGTTTTTTGTTTTATTCATTGTACCTTTCTTGTTTCTGGATCATCACAGCTAATCTCTAATCATATTTATTAGTGCTCTATGGAAGTAAAGGAAAAACTTTCAAAAGGCAAATGTGGCAAAATAGTTAAATGTGAATTTGAATTATCAATAAAAGATTTTACTGCTTAACAAAAAATGGTATTGTTGGCAGATGCAGTGGACACCTGCAAAGTCTTCAGTGTTTTATACTTAAAAAAAGTCAGAGTGGATTTCCTCTAAACCATTCCCAAGCTTAAAAGGGACCACATATGAAGTTCATTCAGTACAAATAGCATTTGTAGGAGCAATGACAGCAAATACAACGAGTAAATGCATATTTTTTCTACTTTTGTTGCATCGAGTCCGGTAGCAACCTGACACCAGCTAGTAGACAATAGAACCACACTCATCGTAATAATTCTTATAATCATAATATGATTCCTTAATCAAGCTCTGAATTGAGTGTGACAATTTGTTGTACTGTAATATGTCACTGTATTGCCTTCTTGTGGTGAAACAGATGATGTGAGCTTCTTCTTCAATTTTTTTTTTGTGTAGATTACTGTTTGAATTACCGATCTGGATATAACAGATATGTTGGTATTAATACCAACTGGGAACTTACTGAGATCAAAGTTGAAATAGTTTAATTGTGTACGCCTATTTGTAATTGTGTAATTGCTACTTCAGAAATAGGTACACAAAAGGTACTCCATGAAAATACTCACATATACCTCCCTATATTATATCTTGGGCCTCATATTAAGAACATACACTTATTTCTTTGAAGGTTATTATATGGCCTTTTGAAATGAATATGAAGTGTGTTTTCAAATGTGTCTTTGCACCTGAGGAAAGGTTGTTGCTCCGATATGAATCTCCAGTTATTCCTGCAGCTGCCTTTGACATTTGGTACTTCATATAAGCATTTGTATAGTTTTCCTCTTGTTTATTAAGGTAGGGCACTTGATCTGTTAATGTACTCTATCTTAGACTTTTAGTTGATACGCAAAGCACATGCATTTAAACTGGTTTTATACACCCTCACTTAGGGATCATTCTATTTTGAATATGCTAGTTTGTTTTTTTTTCGTTTTTTTTTTACATTAAACAAGACCATTTTAGACACAACAGTCACTTTTGTCTGATATTTATATCTGTTACAAAGTGATTTTTTGTTGCATAAATGTTTGTGAATATTGTTATTTTTATGTTCAGATTCATCATTTTGCTTTAAAATGCCAAATTTGGCACTTTGTATAGAGGTACAACTAAGGTATTCAAGAAATAGATCATTACATCAAACACAATTATATAAAAAAAAACAAAGCTCATACAAGCCCAAGCCCAACTCCTAAAGCCTGATGCATTGATGAATAATATACATATCTACTTATGTATTCATTGATATTCAACGATGTATGCAGATTAACACCATCAGGTTTTGTGCAGTTTTGAGTATCTCCATTTGAGCATAAATGTAAACTGTTCTAGCATATTTTACTACTTTTGCCATTTTACACTACAACCCATGGCCTTCAGAGAGGAGGTCTGTTTGATAAAGCTGGATCACACTGCATGCTTCAGTAGATTAATGCTAGACGGTGATTTATTCATCAGATATGGCGGGCCACACAGAAATGCTCTCAGATCTCTCCGATACAGCACAGATTTATGGGAAACAAAAACAATGACTATAGTGTGATGCATGCATGTGTAGACAAAAGCGCTGATGATGATAATAGCTGATGTGATGTAAGATGTGTTTCTTCAGTGGCACTCACCGTCTGTACTGAGTCTAGTTTCTCTGTGTGTCCTGGTAACAATGTAGGGATTTGATGCCATGTCTTCAAATCTGCATCTTAACAGGACTTCCGATCAAACTAATACCACTATTGCTGTTTCCATGGTTTCATATGGTAAGATAAGATATGCCTTTACTCTCTCCAAGTTGGAAAAACAGAAATTGTTCACATGCATTCATTATACAGAGGTGTGCACCAGCCAAGCAGTCCAAGACAGGGATCAGAGATGGTGGAAAATGTACTGATATGGTATCCTCATCCCACCTATAGAAAAGGTGGAGATGAGTGGTTGAGAGGCAACACTTATTTGAGCTAAAACTTATATTCCATCAAACATTTTTAGAAAAACAAAGCTGTAGCCAAACGTATACATTTTGAAGTCACACTGAAATAAGAAATGTAACTACATATCTATTTTCTATCTTTGTTACTCCATGCACTGGTTTTCAGTGAGCTAACATGGCTATAGGTGAAGTGTTTGACTTCTAGTTGTCATCAGTTCACTTAAAGTGAACCTGTGGTGAATGGGTTCTGAAAAATGACTTCTCCCTGAGTAGAGGATGGTCGGGTGTATTCAAAGGACCTTGTCAGTAGCAATATGCTCTCAATGAATCTCAGGCCGTGCCAATCCCGAGCCTCCAGCCCACTCCCCTGAGGACCCAATGTCTACAGCTCTATTCCGCTGCTGTGAGCCAGAGATTGCTCCTTCAGAGGTTATTATGGCCTGCATGATGAGCGTGATCCCATATGTTTATACAGGATGAGATGTCTTGCATGGGGGTGGCTTGCATTTCAAGTGTGTTTCCAAGATTTTAATGCAAGAACACATGTTTTGAGTGAACAGTTATATTTCTTTAGTAGTTCTAGTTTGGGTAAATGTGGCATTTTAGCATAGTGAACATGTCATTTTAGGGTAAAAAAAAAAATGTCACCATGCTACAACTTATGTGACCCCATTTAACTGTAGCAACTCAAAATAAATGTTTCTTTTGTCCTGCAGAAATAGTTTTTAAATTAATAAATTCATATTTTTAAACTGTGATTTATCTATGCAATACAGTCATTTTAGATTTAAATGAGTGTCCCGACATACCGTTAGAATGCCATCTTACGACATGGGGAAAGGGCCACACAGCCTCAGTTGTTCATTCTTGGAGCAGCTCTTTGTCCAGCTTTAACAGTGCCTCTGATACTACAGCTCTCTTCAGAATCATGGTACAGTAGTGAATATAATAATTGGAAGTCTCAGCATTTGACATCACTTAAATGATCCAGACTCACAATGCTTTGGCCTTGTATGAATTGTGGTGCATTAAAAAAAGAAACAAAGAAATAAACTAATAGATACAGTGATACTGATACTATAATTGAATATATTCTTGTAAAATGCAAACAGCGACTTTGAACCAAGTAAGAGGTGATGACAGTCAAATGAATGCCCAATGTTTCTCATTATAAAAGTATGTGAAAGGGAATCAATAGAAAGGGCACAATGTCATCCATTCCCTAACCCTGCTGTATCCTAGGGTTTTTGCACTTATTTTTGCAACATTAACATGCAGAATTAGATTTATGCTGCAGAGCCTGTCACAACATTATGACAGAAGCTGCGTGTGCCACTCCGGAGGTTGAGAGATGAAAATGAACCATGTGGGAGCTGACTTCAGTCCTGTCAACCTTGAGCACCCCTTTGAATGTAATAAAGGCAAATGTAGGTGTGCTGCGTAAAAATCAGAAATGAAAAAGAAATGAATTTAGGTTGAGAGCAAGTCTCCATTGCACATAATGTTGCAGTAACAAGGTTATTCTGTGAAATGCTCACACCAACACAAAATGTTCCTCTGCTCTGTCTCACCTCTCCTCTCTTTTTCTTCTTGCAGGATTCAAGATTCACAGAGAGAAACCTGTGGACCTAAGCCAGACTACAACCCCTGATAGAGAAAGAGAAAGAGAGAGGCACGAGGAAACACAGAAGGAGAACAGTGTACACCTCACCTTTGTTCTCTCTGATGCTCCACATAAAGGATCAGTACTGGCCCCTGTGTGAATAACAGCAAAGAACAGCCTGCACACAGCTGCGGAGGAGCAGGCGCTGAGGAGGAGAAAACAGGATTACACTGGAAAGCTCATATTCCATGTTAATTGAATGCCTGGGAACGAGGACAGACATGAGAAGCAGCTTTCCCAGTGCCAGCCGCTTGGAGAGCTATTGCAATTAACCCTGTGGCCGTCATAAAGTAATACCTGGCTCGTGTTGTGTGTGAGTGCTGGAGTTGGCGTTGGTCATGTTCCAGAGTGTGCTGTATAGACCGTATCGCAGCAGCTGTCATCCAAACAGCTTGATCCTACCTCTGCTGTTACTGCTCCTCCATGGGCCCCTGAAGGGGGCTCAGGCAGCCAAACCCAAGGGGCCCCCACACACACATTTGAACTCCATCCGCATTGATGGCGACATCTCTCTGGGCGGGCTCTTTCCTGTACATGCCAGGGGCCACGATGGCAAACCGTGTGGGGAGCTTAAAAAGGAGAAGGGCATCCACAGACTGGAGGCCATGCTCTTTGCCCTTGACCGCATCAATAATGACCACAACCTGCTGCCAAACATCACCCTGGGCGCCCGTATTCTGGACACCTGCTCTCGAGACACACATGCCCTAGAGCAGTCACTCACCTTTGTCCAGGCACTCATAGAGAAAGACGGCTCAGACGTGAAGTGTCGGGATGGGGGCTCGCCCATCATCACCAAACCTGAGCGGGTGGTGGGTGTCATTGGGGCCTCCTCCAGCTCGGTCTCCATCATGGTGGCTAACATTCTCCGCCTGTTCAAGGTAAGGTCAAATATTATAAATGTTACATAGACTTGTCTCTCTGTTGTGAGAGACTCAGAGCACAGCACAGGCCTCTGCTGCTGAATACTGCATGCTGCAGAAAACTGGGATCTATTGATCAGTCTGTGTATGTGTGAATAATTAATGGGACATGGAAAAATAAGTTCTGCTGTTCAGGCAAATGAGACAACGGTCTTATCCAAACAATAACATATATACTGTTCACAAAAATGAAGGGAACTTTCCCTTTTCAGTTCAGCTGAAACGTAGCATTGATTCTTTGTGTGATTTTTCAGTTTGATAAGGGAAAACTTATTTTGTGAAAAGTTTGTAATTTTAAGACTTCATTTGGTTTTCACTCTGCAGTTTAACTCTCAGCAGCATGTGAGCTATTCTGACTTTATATGGAGCTGTCTAATCATTTCACAGTACTACATTTTTGATACACTGGTGCAATGGGGAGAAAAAAGATTTGTCTTGTTAATACTGTAGTGTTGTTTCTAGAAGCTTATTGGGGATTCTGCAATCTTTTGATTATTATTATTATTATTTTTGGTAATGCACTGGCTTGCTTCAAACTTCCATTCTCCTCACATAGTTATCCCCATTGGAATGTGGTAAATGCATTTATCCGGCGCCGTACTCCTAAAAGTCCATTTGAAATGTGTGGTTCCACAGGACAGAGCTTCATAAGTTTGCTCAGATGGGGGTGTAAATCATCAGTGTGACAGGTGCCCTCTGGGAGCGGTTGCTTAGCAGTGGAAAGCAATACCTGTCACAGCACCACACTCTTAATAAGATTATATTTCCCAGTAGCTTTTCATTATTTTGTTGGGAATGTATATTCAACCACCTGATCTGAAGATCTGTTCAAATATGTTTTTAACTTAACATCAAGATTATAGTAGTTCCAACACTGTAATTTACTGCTTGGCTGCACAGCAAAATCATACTTATTTTATTATTATTGCTCTGGTGCTCAATTACATATTTTAGCAAAAAGAATTTCTTAAATAGAAAGGTGTTAAGTTTACACAGAGCTTGTTGACTCAAAATTAGTGCAGATTCCTTAGTGCTGATTTAAAACTTGTAATTCAGTACCAGAGGTGTTTAGGTGTTTGTTTGTTTGTTTGTTGTTTGTTTTGAGGTATACTAAAACATTAGGTGAAGCCTTTGAAACTTTCTTTATAAATTGTATGAGCAACTGAGTGTATAAAGTGATCTGCACTGTAAGGATCTCATTTTGTCTGTGTAAACAATTTCACTCTGTGTGAACAAGAATGAGGCCATGAGCCGGGCTTAACAGAATAATTCAGTATTTTTAATTCAACAGATAGCCACCCTGCCACAGTGTGAGCAGTGTTAACTGTTATTGTTATTTTATAAATGGCCCAAAGAAGTGTGTCCTAAATCTAGATCCACATCCAGAATAAAAGACAATGTTGATTTGGATTCATTTTTAATTGGAATAATCATTCACATTAAATGCCTGCTGTATGAATGGCAAGAAAACACTATTCTATTCTGGCACACGGGTAGTGACAAACAGAATGTATTTGTCCTAAATACAATATGGCTATTTCCTCTCGTCACTATGGTTACACCCACAGAGCAGACAGACTGTGGCACTGAGAGCTGCAAAGCTTGAATGACACTGTTATGTGGATGTGTGGGTGCTTAACAATTCAGTAGGTGGCTGTAAGTTAAGACAAACTTTGCTTAAAATTAGACAAAAAAAAAAAAATGTGTGTAGTCGTGACCCGTACGTACAATAGTGAATGTGCAACTTTATTTATTTTATTTTATTTATTTATTTCAGACAGGGACAGCACACAATTTTTGCATTTTACCTTAACAGGAGAGATGCATTGTACATCAGGTTGTAGCAGCAATGCTAATTTCCACCTGTAGTCCCTGGACAGGTTCATTGATTGATTGTATTTAACTGACCTTGACTATCAACTGTACTTTCCTTTTCATTAATTTTCATTCCTTTGTTCATCACTTAAACTCAAATGGGAAAATGAAACTCGCAACTCTGTACCTCACCCCCAACCCTAACCTCTTGCTTCTTGAATAGAATAATATTCCAAAGATTTTTAGTCCCAGCCTGTTGAGAAAAAATTGACAAAAAGGGCACCTGCAAATGGACCTGATTTCTAGCTAAAATATTTGATAAGTCCGAGAAACACTCTTACAATTCTTCCACTTGGTTCAAATAACAAAGCTATCAAATAATTTATCTACACTGCACTTTGCTTCTTCCCTTCTATTGTTATATCCTTCATTTTTGCTGTTTTACTACAAACATACATTTAACCAATGTCTCACGGAAAACTTTGTAAGATTAACTCCTGTAGCAGGAGAAGCACTAGCCTAAAGCAGTAGAGTGTAGCTGGATACACCCTTGAAAATAGTTGTAGAAATCATGGCGTGTCAGGTTGTACATTTACAACACTAGCAATAAAAGTGATTGAAGAATTGCTGTAAAAGTAGATTTTGTTGTTTTCTCCTTTCACTAATTTATTTCAGATCATTCAGGTTATGCCAAAGGAACAACATTTCCATGCAAGCCAAATAAGTCAGGTTTGTGGTTGTTTTGCAAAACAACAACCCCTTATTGTTTCGGCCTATTTTTCCTAAAATGCCTGACTAAGATTACTCACAATTTAAACTCAATCTGTTTCTGAACCTTTTGGAGCACAAATAAAATGGCTAAACTCTTTGTGAAGCTGAGGTTCTGGAGATTTGGCCTCTGCTGTCCTCTATCTGTACTCTGTACTCTCATTATAAGTGGAACAAGCTCTACATGGAGGAAAGTCAGATTTCAAGTTACACATACATTTTTTTGGGAGGTAAATATAAGAATAGGTATAGCTGGTGTCCCTGGGTAGACTGAGCATTTGTTGGGTCTTGCCTGACAATTGCATGTCAAAGCTGAAGCATATCTCACTAAACAGGAGATTTAAGGACTTGTAATGAGGCAGAATTCATATAAAATTCCTATTTTTTATTTATCTATTTTTTATTTGTGGGTTTTGGCGCACAAACTGTTCCAGATTCTTCTCAGAATGGTTAATTTGACTGAAAATAAGTGGGTTACAGATTTCTATTAATGTTTTACATGTCCATGAGATTGAGAGTTCTCTGTGCAAGGGGCCGTATCAGCCCCCTTGGAACACAAACAAGTTTTAACCCTATACATTATTGTCTTCATTTCTAAATATTTTAATTATGCAACATTTATTGTAGTCTCTGTAATGTTTCTATGCATGAAGTATGGCTCCTTAGAGTCCGAGACAGAAGCCCCTCCCTCTCCCCTCCCCTCTCTCTTCATGTGCTGACACAGGTGAGAGTGGACAGGAGCGGTAATGAGCAGCTCCAGCAGGAAGCCTCCGATCATTAGCACACGGCACGTTCCCTCTTCATTAATGCACACAAATACACTCCTCGCATATTTAATCTGGACTTCTCTGATCTCTGTTCGCTTGATCCTCAATGCAAATATTAGCATAGCTTTTCCCGCTGATGTACATTTTGACAATTAGGGGTTAAAGAAGGCTATTTGAGTGCAGAAACATGCATTAAAGATTTGCCTGTTCATTTTCTATTAGGGGGGAAATAGACTATTGAAAATCAGTGTCATATTGGAAAACGCTTTTCAAGAGAGTGTCTTATACAGCTATAGCTAATTACCTGACACTGACAATGAAAAGAGAAAGAGTTGTGATGTAAAGTAATCTGGACCTAGATCTGTCTTATCTTTGATCTAAGGAGTGGTTTCACAATGTACAGTTTGGACTGGACTTTCAGGTGTTAGTATGCTCTAAAGGCATCAATAGAACTCACAGGCATGATTCTCCAAAACGTATTTAAAATAAATTATGGATTTGAAATGGAAAATTATTAATACTTATAATTGTAGTACACTAGAAATACTGGTACAGTAGCAGTGGTGAATTTGTGTGACTGACGGATAAATCATAGAAACACTTGGCCTGTTCCATGTCAAAACAAATTTGATTTTGGCAATAAAGACAGTTTTGAAAAATGAGTAATAATCACAGAGGACATCTGCCAAATCAACAGGTTCAGTACTAAATGTTGTTAATTAGAGGCGAGAGAAGTTATGAAGTTTGAACTAAATGAAACAGGTTTATTTGAGAGGAAATAGCTTCTGTATATAATTAATACAGCAGATAAATTACTGTGATTGGTTTGACATCAGAATTGTTATAGGATTTATTTGGAATGAGTTAAGTTTCAGATATTGGTACGAGTTAAATTCGTACCACATTAAGAATTTCAGTAACTGTTCATTTTGAAGAATCCTTGCTTCACTGAGGTGCTGAGGTGGTCCACAAGAGTCATCTGTGTGTCTAGCCCTGAAGTATAGGGTGATGAGGCAAGGGTCCCGGGGGAGTGGTTTTTTACAGCCTTCTTCTCATAACACAGGCAGCACTCGCCCTGCATCATTTACTGAGATGGCAAGAGTGGTGAGGAAGAGGAAGCGTAAGCCTCCTGTGTCATGGCTGGACATTACTGTGTGTTTTAAAAACACTGGATGTGCATTAGAGCATACAGTTGACACCAAGCACAAGGATATATATAGACACCTGTGGATCTTATGTTTCTTAGATATATTGTGACAGTAATTTATTTATTAAGGACTTACATTTGTTATTGATTAAAAATGTCTTCACATATGCCCAATTTAATCTAAATAAGAATCCTGTTCAAGAAAACTTGAAATTGTAGCATCTGTATGCAGTGGCGTGCTAAGAAAACATCTATCCCGTCACTCCAGGGCAGCACTGCATTTAAGGTTATAAGTTAGAGTAGTAATTAAGTCACTAAGCCTGAATGATTATTAATTAAGTCTTTGTTCATGCTTCAAGAGTAATTGTAGTTATTATAAAGTGTTTACTGTTGCCCCAATGCATTTTTAAGTTGTGTTTGTCCACTGATCCAAAGGTTGGTGGTTCGAATCTTGCTTTCAG